AATGTTTCTGTCTGTTGATGTATTTGATCAGCAACCTGTTGTTTGATAAGTTCAAGTGTTGTTTGTGGGATAAGGTTGTTGTGTATAATTGTTCTTTTTTGATCAACAACCCTTTGTTCGATGACAGTGAGGTGAGGATATTGTTGTGTGAATCTATGTGTAGTTGTTGTTTGTATGCTGTCATGTTTGTTTCGAGTTTTGTGATTGCATAGTAAGTACGAATGATAAACTGATTCATTTCTGTTGTCCATTTCATCTGTTGGCATGGTTTTCCAGCCTTTGTGGTCTGTGGATGCATTGCCACAGAAACACCAAGGCTAGATTGATTCCTCACATCTATTGAGGGCATTGCAGTTGCCATGCTTGGGCCGGCACTGCTTTCACCTCCGGTAACCAAGGGTGACTGCGGCCTATTTTTCGAACGTGAGCCTCTGCCTAACCCACGAACGCGGACCTTGTTAACCCGGGCGACATCCGAGCCGGTATCACACTTTGATCTGGTTACTACCATATTAATTATCTCCACAGAATGTGGGTGTGGTCACTCTTAGCTTCATTTTCCCCATAGACCTTACTGGCATGGGTGTCCCTACCAGGAGCTTGTGCTCCAGCCTGCATTGCTCTACAGTTCAGTAAAATTACTGGGCTCTCCCACCATGACCAGGTGGTGACCACGGGAGAGTTATTATTATTATTATTATATGACATGTTAAATATGGTTGCTTTCTATAATATATGTGCTGTTATGAAGCATTAATATTTCAAGATTTTTGTGTAGTGTAATATGTATTTAATTTTTACATCAAATATTAATTCTATTTTGTTAGATTAATTTTAAATGTAAAAATGTTTTTATTTATTCTAGAAACTAGATCCAAAGAGCGAAGTTTACTAGAAAAATGTCAATATTTACAAGTACTAAATACAATAATATCTGGAGTTTCTCCTTATATTGCCACTATAATTACTATAGTTGCATATACTTTATCAAAGAATGATTTAAGGCCATCTGAGGTAAGTTTTAAAATTGATTATTTCATTATTTATGTATAAAATTGAAATTTTGATGAAAAGTGTGTTTTGTGTAAGTAATAATTAATTAAGAACTACTTCAGAACATTTGATATTAATTGTAATGGGAAAAATAGTTCCACAAATCACTAACAGAAAAAATTTAGCACTGAAATCAATGAGAAATCACTGACTCTAATCTCTAAGAATTCAATTGTAGGAAAAATTAATTGGAAATTAATGCAAATGTTAATCAATAAATTTTATTGTGCTATTGATATACACAAAAGAGCTAGTATGCTATATAGTCTCTAGATTGCTCAACATTGTACTTATTGCAGTTTGGAGGAGGCTCATTAGATGCAGTGACCCAATATAAAAATGGGATAAGCTAAGTGAAGAAAAAGCTATAGTGAAAATTATTGAAGACTACAATGGATACTGTTAATGTCTTCTGATCTGATATTCTGAGCATTATATTTGATGAACAATGTGTTCAATGGCAAAACACAACTATTTTTGTAGTGACGCAAGCAAATTATCTTTCAAAGCTTCCAAATTAAATATATCTGTAAAAAATAAATGCTTTAGAAGTGTTTTCATAACAAAAAAATCACTGGATTAATTGTTTGTGATATATGATTATCAGTTAAGGATGTAACATGTTTTTTGGAAATAATATAATAAGCACTGTCCTTGGTGAAGTATTGTCATAGCAGCTGCTGTGTAGACTGCTTGACATTAGAAAATTCTCCAACTTTCATAAAAATTATTGAATTGGTATACTTTTGCTGCTGCAGTTTTGAAAGAAGTATCCAGTAACTCTTATTGCCTAAAAACATAAATTGTGTCTCATTCAATAATTTTTCTGAAAGTCCAGGTTGATGATGATAAAAAAAATTTTTGTAAATTTACACATCAGTAACTTTTGGTGAATATATAGGATATGATGAATTGTATGAGAATTTCAAATTTGACAGTTATGGATGTCCAATTCAAGTGAAAATGAGTGTCATTTCCCTACAAGATATTCCAAGGTTATGTATTGTCCCTCTCCATTTGAGCAGGAAACATCAAAACAAATAGATTTCATCAGAAAGCAAAACTATTATAATTTGCACAGAATGTTCTACATTAATTACTGTATATATCCATCTATGTTGACACTGCATATCAAGGCAGATGTTACAAAGTCTATTGATTACAGTAGCAGAGGTGATGACTTCAGTCTATTATGAACTTCTAAACACTAATTTTTCAAACTGAACAATCATTTTTTTGAAGAATAAAACAATTGTTTCCTACTAAAGTAAAATTCAAATTTACTTGGTACATGACTAATAAATCTTACAAGTTTTGAAAATTAAGTTATTGCTTACTGTTGATATTAAATTCTAAATATGTTTTCTAATATTTCTCCTTATTCTTAAAAAGATGAAGTGTAATTAAATAATTAGCAATTTCTGGAAATGTTTATTTCAAGTTTTATAGTTATACATAAACATAAACACTGACTTAACATTATTTTATAACAATTTATACTACAGAATTGACGTTTTGAATCAAACAACAAGAAAATACTCAGTAAAAGCAGATTCAAGATAGTCATGTTATGAATTGGTAGTGTCAGAAAACAAATAATTTGTCAGAAATATGATATACACGTCAAATGGCTAATGCAAAAATAACACTGACATATGTAGTCAATATAAAACATTTGTATGTAGAAAGGATTGTTTATCAATATAAAGCATTATACAGTAGAGCATCAATTATCCGAATCAATTGGGACTGGGGTGGTTCGGAAGATCGATGTTTCGGATAACCGATTATGTACGAAAAATTATATTAATTTATCCCATCTTGACATTTTTCTCCATTGCGTGTCACTTTGCGTTGAATTTTCGTTGATGTTAAGCCTGACGAAGACTATTGTATCGTTAAAAATTATTTTTTTATTTTGTAGGAACAAAATAAATATATTGAAAAATATAAAAACAATAAAAAATTATACTTCAGAAGTTAATTTAGTATCAAAAACGTAAAATATTTGAGTAGCCC